CCTGAGACATTTCTGGGCAGCAGCTGGCAGTGCCAGTGGATTACTCTTAATAGCATTAGCATAGCGTTAATTTATGTGCCATAATCGGGCATTCTGTGCCCGTCTCTGAGGGTGACCTAAGCGCAGCCCATGTGCCCTGATGGAAATGTGCGTCCATCACCTCAGGCGTGCAGGACTCAGGAGGAGGGGGGGGCTGTGGTGGCCTCCACCCCCTCATGCGGGATGGCCCCTGTGCCATCTGTGTGCCACCCTGCTGCTTGCTCCCCCAGAATGTGTTTGAGAGCAAGCCGTCCGTCCCTGAGTACAAAGTGGCCTCGGTGCAGAAGTCCCGCTTCATCCTGCTCCACTACAGCATCTTCAAGGCCCTCTGGGACTGGCTGATCCTGCTGGCCACCTTCTACGTGGCCGTCACCGTCCCCTACAATGTCTGCTTCACGGGCACGGAGGACAGCCTCTCAGCCGCCCGCAGCACCATCGTCAGCGACATCGCCGTGGAGATGCTCTTCATCCTGGGTAGGTCTGTGCCCAGGGCCGAGCATCCGTGTGGGACGGGAGACACGGCTGAGCGGGGCAGGGGTGCGGCCAGAGGAGCGGAACTGAGGGGTGATGGGGAGGGGAGCTGGCATGGCTTTGCTCCTGCTGCTGGTGCCGAGCACCCCGGGGGTGGGGACTAGGTTGGCTGTGGTCCCCGCCCCAGCTCTCCTGGCCGCAGCGGGGGTTGCGAGGGCTGGTCCTGCTCTCCTGGGGCAGACATCATCCTGAATTTCCGGACGACGTACGTGAGCCAGTCGGGCCAGGGGGTGTATGATCCCCGCTCCATCTGCATCCATTACGTGGCCACCTGGTTCTTCGTGGATCTGATCGCCGCTCTGCCCTTCGATCTGCTCTATGTCTTCAACGTGACCGTGGTGAGTGCCACTCGCACTGCGGGCGGGGGGCTGGGGGGGGAGGTGGACCCTTTTGTGGGGACCCACTCCTCGTGTGCCTGTCTGGGAGCGGCGCGGGCAGCGAGGGGAAGCAGCGATGGCAGCAAGCCTCCCACGCATCTTAATTTACCCAGAGGCTGCCACAAACGACAGTAACTGCCAAGGCACCGCTCCAGGAGCTGCAGGCGGGCGCCCGCCCTGCACTGAGCACCCCGCACCCTGTGCTCTGCCCAGCTCCACATCTGCATGGAAATACCTCGCACACCCACACCCCACTGCAGTGAAGGGCACTCGCACGTTGCCCACAGTGGCAGGGGGGTCCCCATGCGTGAGGGCACACTGGGCACACGCTGGGGACGAAGGCAGGTCCCAGCCTGAGCCTCCCGGGGCTCTCCAGGGGACCCACAGCGCAGCGGGTGCGATGGGCTGCGCAAGTGCACTGCTGGCACCAGCCCCTTCCCATCCTCTGCTAATTGGGGCAGGGAGGGGAGGAGGGAGGCGAGGGCAGAGCCTGTAATTACGCTTATTGGAGGCAGAGCAGCGAGCGGAGAGGACAAAGGCACTCGGGGGCTGGAACTGCCCCCCTGAGCCAAACCCCGCTCCGCGGGTGCCCCGGCGGTGCTGCCGGCAGGAAAACAACCCCAGCCAAGGCAGAGGGCATCACTGCCGCTGCATCTGCCAGAGCTGGGGGTGCGCAGCCGTGGCTGGGAGGGCCGGC